GGACGCTTGCAGGACTACCTCAGGATCTCTGACTAGACTGAAGGCAGCCACCCAAATCTATGATCCAAAAGCTGCCGCTCCGGGATCTACATACAGTGCAGAGTGTAGTATCAGCACAACCGACCCCATGTGCTGGTAAGTGTCAGGCCTAACCCCGGCGAAGTAGTGACGAGACTAGGACCAGACTACCAGATAAACCTGTGCAGTTATATAATATACAACAGAAAATAAAACAGATATAAACATGAAAAGATGGGAGGGGGACATGCTGCGGGGGAATATCATTTACCAACAGTAATTTAAAAGACAATATAAAGAACAATTTAGAATTCACAGCAAAATAATAAAGAACTCGTAACCGACCAATAAGAACTTTTTATTATCTATTGTTGCGGCGCGCAACCCAATTCAAATCATAAAAATACTATTGCGGTATGCAACCCGATCCATATCATTTATTACTATTGCGGCGTGCAACCCGATCCAATCATATTAGTGTTGCGGCGTGCAACCCGATCCAAACTAATATTGTTGCGGCGTGCAACCCGATGTAAATATAATATTGTTGCGACGTGCAATCCGATCCACATATATAGTTCAACACCAACCATAAAGAGAGTCCTGGCAAGGGATTAATAAAGAAACAACACTATCCTGGCAAGAAAATCGACAATATGAGTAAATACGTCCCGGCAAGGGAAAATCAGCTATAACCAAACTTATTCCAACATCTAACTTCCTCAACTAGCACAAATACTCAATCATAAGTAATTTCCACGAGAATAATCATACTCCTTGCTCAACACAGAGAATTCAACAACTTAGGCATTCGTAGTATTTGTTAAGGACACAATAATTTCAATTTAAGACTCACGGTCATGCTTGACACCAACGTATAGATACTCGTCACCATGCCTATACGTCGTACTCATCAAGTAACAGGTAGAAAATAAGACACAACTCCTAATCCCTCAAGCTAAGGTTAGACCAAACACTTACCTCAAACTTCCACGGCCAACTCAAGCCTCAAACATCGTTTTTTCTTTTGAATTTGGCTCCAAATCAATTGTATCTAGACATAATCGACTTAATAATATCAATAAACTCTAAACAATTTGATTCCAATGCATAATTATAGATTCCCTATCATTCTTCCCAAAAGTCAAAAATCGACCCCGGACCCGCTTGGTCAAAATATGAGGTTCAGACCAAAACCCGATCACCTATTCACCCACGAGCCCAAATATGTAATTAGTTTCGAAATCTGACCCAAAACAAGGTCTAAATTCCAATTATACAAAAAGCCCTAACTCTACCCAAATTCCTAATTTTCTACCCTTAAGAACATGATTTAGGCCTAGAAATCTAATGGGTGTTAATGGAAATTGAAGAAAATGAGTATAAGATTACATACCTATGAATTTGTAGTGAAGTTATCTTTCAAAAATTTCCCAATTTGGAATTTGGAAGAAGAAGTCGGGTGGCCGCGTTCGCGATAGAGTAAAATCCCTCTCCCCCTGCCCAGGCCCAAAGGCCTTCGCGTTCGCGATGGGAAACATCCCCAAAGCTTCGTATTCGCGTCCTATGTCTCGCATTCGCGTAGAAGGAGATTTCCTTCAACCTGACTAACCCTTCGCGTTCGCGAGAGTCCTTCCGCGAACGCGAAGAACAATACACCAGAATACCAGAAACTGAAACCTGCAACTTTTTCTAAGTTCAACAACATTCCGAGACCTATCTGAAACTCACCCGAGCCCTCGGGGCTCCAAGCTAAACATGTACACTACCTCAAAAATACCCTACGGACTTACTCGTGTGATCAAATTGCCAAAATAACATCAACAACTATGAGTTTAGCATCAAAATCATGAAATCACTCAAGAACTTCAAATTTTCCAATTTTTCTCAAATACGGTTCGATTTACGTCATTTCCGGTCCGTTTTTTACCAAATTTTACAGACTCGACTTAAACCACATATAAGACCTGTATCGGGCTCCGGAACCAGAATACGGGCCCAATACCATCAATTTAAACATATTTCATTTTCAAAAACTCATAAATATTCCAAAAAATAATTTTTTTCAAAAATTCATTTCTCGGGCTCGGGACCTCCGAATTCGATTTCGGGCATACGCCCAAGTCCCATATTTTTTTATGGACCCTCCGAGATCGTCAAATCACGGGTCTGGGTCTATTTACCCAAAATGTTGACGGAAGTCAACTTAAATTCATTTTAAAGTCAAAACTCATCATTTTCATAGATTTTCACATAATGGCTTTCCGGCTATGCACCCAGACTGCACACGCAAATCGAGGTGATGCTGAAAGAGGTTTTTAAGGCTTCAAAATACAGAATTTATTTCTAAAACAAGTGATGATCTTTTGGGTCATCATATTGTATCCTTTTCTAATTCTTGTTGCAATTTATGGAAATAAAAAAATAAAGTAGGCACAAAACATGAAAGGGATTTGAGCACACACCTGCCCAAATACTTTGAACCCACTTGATCACTTTTGAAAGAGCAAAGCTTCTGTTAAGTGAGTTCAAAAATAATTTCTGTACAAAATTTACCTTGCTTTAGTCGTAATTTATACATATACATAATATTATTTTTTGACGAATCGGATTCAGTTGAACCCACTTCTCACCACGTGGGTCCGCCCCTGTATATCAAACGAACCCTATGTATTATTATGGGCTATATAACAATCTTTTTGTTGGTCATTCATTTATTATCACTCATCAAATAACAGTTTTTACTCCTCTATTTAAAAAAAAATGGCAATAATTTTTTTTGATCCGTTCTAAATTTGATTAATGTTTTCTTTTCAAATTTGAAAAATAATATTTGAACTATATATTTTATCTTTAATGATAAGTTTTTATATACAATAATACAAACGTCATGTTATACTTAAGATCAGAAATTTTTTTTAAAATTTTTTTGCTTAAATTCCAACCCTAATAAAAGTCATATAATTAAAACGCGGGAGTATATTATGATTCTTGCATAATATGCTAACAAAATGGTCATCGACGTGATAACTATTTGAAGCCTTTGTATACCTTCAGCATGCGTATTGTAGTTTTTTTAAATTCTCATTCCAAGTTTGCTATCCGCTTTAGGGTCTAGATAATATAAATTCAAAGTCCATGTCACTTAAGATCCAATATTAAAGGAGAAAGATCATACCCAATGCTTGAATATTAAAAATGGATAGATTTTATTCATCCAATCACAATCCTTGATAATTAGCATATACTCTAGCGTTTGGACGTAGATATGTAGAGGCGGAGCCAGAATTTGAACCTTATGAGTTTGAAATTATAATACTTTTAAGTTGCTGAGTTCTAAATTAATAAGTTGTACATATTCAAAGAATTTCTTAATATAAATACATGGTTTGAAGAAAAGTTACAGGGTTCGGCCGAACCCGCATCCAGCACTCTGTCTCCCCCACTGTTGATTTGGTTGAATCTTGAAAAAGAATTTTTGATATTTTGTTGAAAAATACTTTTAGAAGTTGAAATTGTGTTTGGACATGCATTTTATTTGAAAAAAAATAAGTTTCGTAAGTGAAAGAAAAAATTTCAACTAAAAATTGCCCTAAACTAGCTTTTGAGAATATAAAAAAAAATCAAATTTTTTAAAAAACTGCTCATATTTTATGAACATATAGTGTTTTCAATTATTTTTTTTGAAAAAAATAGCCAAAATCTATTGACAATAACAGCTTAGTATATTATCCCAACTCACGTGCCGCAACTTATATTCCCTATATGTGATCACAGTATCACTAGCTCCTATCTTATCATCTGCTGCAAAACCATCTGCTTTTTTCTTAAAAAGCTTCTAACCCTAGTCCGCAGAAGTAATAATTCTAGTAGAATACAGTTCATCATCCACAACAGTCCACTCGTCTCCAGCTTATCCCCACCCCTGCCCCACCTCAATAATCTTTTTCAGTGTCCACTTTGATTTTCTTTATTGATTGCCGGAAAATTTTATTTTGTGCCTCACTAATTGTATGAGATAACTTTTTTTCTCACAACTTTGTGGATCCAGATTTTTGTGGATCCAAAAGTGTAAGATTGGAGTCCACAAATTTATAAGACAAGAATGAGCCTCGTACAACTAATGTCAGTTGTATGAGACACAAAATAAAACTTCTCATTGATTGCCATATGTCTCTTGCTTTCTGCATTAATCCATATGGTGGACGTATTGTTTTCATCAAATAGGTTCTAAAAGTTTTTAAAAAAAAGTATGTGAAAAAGTCAAGGAAATTTATTACTCCATCTATTTCAACTTAGACGACGTAGTTTGATTTGACACACGGTTTAGGAAAAAAGAATAAAACTTTTGAAACTTGTGGTCTTAAAAACTTAAGGGATAAAAGCTTTGTGGGACCATGATATTTGTGTAGTTATAAAATCTTCCCATTAAGGCTAAAATGGGTAAAATAAAGAGTTTAAAGTTGAATTATTTTCAAATTTAAAAATGTGTCATTTATTTTGGAACAGACTAAAAAGAAAAGTATTTCATCTAATTTGAAACGGAAGAACTAACATTTAACATATATATGTATATAAAGAAATTCAACCTTATATACATAGCTGTAATTTAAGCGAAGGGGATTCAGATGAACCCTTTAGCCCCAGCTTCGTCCCTAACATTGATAGATTATTATAGGTTCAATTGAGTTCAGTATTTTGAAAACAATTTTTATTTTTACAAAACTCTTAGCATGTATGGAGAGTGTCCTTAGAACTTAATAGTCTCAAGAATGTGGCAAAATTCTGTCACTAAGAGAATATGTTGTCAAAGATAAAACAAAACATTATATATCTAAAGTGTAGTTTTTAATTATAAAATGTAGAGAAAAAATGTCATCTAAAATGGAACGAATAAAGTGCTACTGCATTAAATTTTGAATTCAGCAGTAAATATAAGGAGTCCCTTACCACACTCCACAAACTATCCAATCCATTACATTAATTCAGAAAAGTACTACTTGCCTTTCCCAGACCATAGTACTGTACCTTTAATCTACTTCCAGAAAAAAAAATACACAAAATAAGCAATGGAAAATGGGGGTTGGAACTTTTTCAGTAATAGTATTGAAAGCTGCAGCAGCAACAATGGTGGAAATGGGGGACAAAATAGTAATTATACTCATGCATGGGACTTTTGGCAACTTGGTAGTACTTCTACTAGTACTAATTCATCCCAGTCCCAGTTGATTCAGTGGAATTATAACAACACATTTAACCAAGATCCAATTACCGTTGGGCAGAAGTTTGACTACACGTGTCCGCTCAACAGTTCCGAATTAATAGCAAGACGAGTGAATACAAGTATTGTAAGCAGTAGCGAATACTTTATCCAAGAAGAAAGGGACCATAATTTGATGTGTTTGAACCTTAACTTGGGGAAAAGGCATTGTACTGAAAATTATGAGCCGCCTCAGGGTGGTGGAGAGGTGGTCGGCTTTGTTATGAACAAGAGAGGGAAACAACATTTCCCTGGTGGTGATGGGGCGGCGGCGGCGGTGGAAATACCGGTGGCGGTGGCGCCGAGGTGTCAGGTGGAGGGATGCCAGGTGGCACTGGTGAATGCCAAGGTTTATCACAGACGACATAAAGTGTGTGCAATGCATGCTAAGGCTCCTAAAGTTGTGGTTCTTGGCCTTGAACAACGCTTCTGTCAACAGTGTAGCAGGTCTCCATTATTTCATGATTTTAAGTTTGAAGTATACATTAATATCAAAACAATACCATCAATATAAAATATCATCTGTTTAATTAACTTGTTATTATTAAGTTACTTATTTGTTTTTATTATTAATTAATATTTATTACGTAATTGGTATATAGATTTAACTTATATATACTCATAGCATAAAAAGTTTACCAATGTATTTAAATTGTATAACAAGCAACAAACACTATTTTCTATGTTGCTAGTCCTAGTTTGTATGGATAAAGTATAAGCGTGTAGTTATCACTTAGGTACCTGATAATGTATCAACTTATTTACATTGTCAAGTGCAATAGTAATTGAACTCACAAATATAAAAGGTTTAAGTATATTGTATATTGACGGTGCAAACAATATTTCGCATTATTAGGACATCTGAAATATAATTTATAACCATTTATAAAAAGCGATATTTGTAACTTGGAAAATGTGTCAAGTTAAAATACAATGATACTTAAATCTGAGATTAAGAGCAAAAGCTTCTTTCGTTTTTTTTTTTTTTTTTTTTTTTTTGCTTCATTGACTTTTAAAATGGGTTACTTGGAAGAATTTTCCCAACTTCTTCATTTTATTCACATTTCTCTGAGGTACAACTATCCGGTACTCATGTTGATAAGATATTGCGGTATTGTTGTTTTTCATATATAGCAGTTGCACCAACATCTCTTAATCTTTGTATTTGTCTTAGCTCATATATACATGTATCATGTCTACCCATAGTAGATCAGGAAGTAACATTTTCTGCTGCTGCTGATGATGATTTTTTATTTTTGGAATTAATTATAAATGAAAGGTTTCATATAGTGAGTGAGTTTGATGAGTCAAAGAGGAGTTGCAGGAGGAGATTAGCAGGACATAATGAGAGAAGAAGAAAAAGCTCTCAAGATAATTACACTAACACCAGAAACCCCTCTCAAGGTAACACTTCATGTGTCCTGATAATTTATTATGATGTGTGTAACACTTAAGTTGTTGGAGAGAATATATATTTATTTATTTATAGCGTTTGGACATGCATGAATTGGTTGGAATTTCAAAAAGAAAATAACATTTGAAGTTAATTTTTTTAAATTATATTTAGGGGATAGGGGAAGGGAAAATTGGGGAGGGGATTGCAAGATGGGGAATTGTTGGACATGCAATTTATTTGCAAAAAGTTAAAGTTTTGTAAGTTGAAGAAAAAGTTTCACCCAAAAACTGTTCTAAATTTTTTTTTTGGGAATTTGAAATTTTCTTTTTCAAAAACTAATCAAATTACATGAACAAATAATATTTTCAACTTTTTTTTTTTGAAAAAATAGATAAAATCTATGTTCAAAGGGGTGCATTTGAAGCTAAGTTGAAAAAGAAAATTTGAAAGTTGTTACGTTTGAACATAAAAACACAATTGAAATTTTGCGAATAAAAATCTACGAAACTCCTAAAATATATTTTTCAAATTTCATGTTTCAAGTTTGAAATTAAAATAATGAGTCAGTTGATAAACAAACACCTATTCACGGCTGGAGCAAGCATGAAGAATATATAGGAACTTGGAAACCTGCGTAGATAAGATTAAGTTCATGTTTGAACATAAATTTTGACTAATTTTTTTTTTAAAGAAAATTAAAAATATTGTTTGTTTACGAAACTTGATCTATTTTTGAAAAATATTTGAAGAAAAAATTTTAAATTCCAAATATTGGTTTGGGGTAATTATTGCGTGAAGTTTTTTCCTCTACTAACAAAACTTTAACTTTTTTCTCAAATAAAATACATGTCCAAACACAACTTCAACTTTCAAAGCTAGTGTTGGCTATTGATTCCCAAATTTGTTTTGAAAAATCTGATTTAAGTGAAGTTTAATCTAAAGATGAAAATATGTTTGGACATCGGTTTTCAAAACATATTTCACTTCTTTTTTGAAAAAAATATGAAAAATAACTTATACCCACAAGTTCTAAAAACTATCACAGATACCAACAATACCTTCATCAATAACATTCATTATATCATCTCAAATCATAGTCCTGAACATAAATAAATTTGGTACAAAATTATCATTTTTATAATGAACTACATAATACACTATCAGATGACCAAGAATACGAAGCAGCATTGTTACAACATAATAAATGGTAGGCTCTTTTATGAAATATAAAAGTTTGGGGCAATTTTTAAAAAACTCCCTCCGTTAACTTTTACTTGTCCACTATGAATTTTGCACACCTCTTAATAAATAATAAATGAAATGCATAATTTACCATGATACCCATATTAATTGATGCACTTTTAGTGGATTTGAGAAAATGATTTGAAATGAGTAATTTAATATTTTCGGTATAATAGGAAAAAAAATTGTCTTTCTCTTGATGAGCTAAAAGTGATAAGTAAAAGTGAAAATCTATTTTTAGAATATTGGATAAGTAAAAGTGAACGGAGGGAGTATAATAGTAGTAATATTTTGGGCCGAAATTAGCTCTTGAGCTGGTTTTGGGATTTGAGTTTTAGGTTTTGAAAATTTGTCGAGTAAAATTTATGAACAAATATGTATTTGTAAAAAAAAAATCGCAAAATCTATGACGAAGCGGGTCCAAAAAACTCTTTTTTTCAAGACTGCATACTATCTCGTAGGTGAGCTTTGAGTGTTATCCAAACTCAAACAGACTAGTAATCATGAACAATGGGGAAAGGTATAACTAAAACATGTGAGTACATGTCACATTGAAATAATCGAATATTATATTAGTGAACACGTTATGATTATGAAGTTAACAACTGGTTTGTTTCTGGTTCTTGACAGTGTAGATTGCATTGTCAATGCCTTGAAAATGCCTTTGTGACTATAAGCAGAATAATTATTAATAGTCTGAATATTTATTCAAGAACAGCATTATTTCATTTAATGAAAATAAAGAATTTGATGCAAGTATATGTAAAATTCTACTCTATCCGTCCCAATTTATATGATATATTTTAACTCGATGCATAGTTTTAAGGAAAACAATATTTTTAAAACTTGTGGTTTTAAAATCTTAAAAGATAAAAAATTTTGTGGGAATTTCAATTTGTGTGACTAGAAAAGCTTCACATTAAGAATAAAATAGATAAAAGAAAAATTTAAAATTAAATTATTGTCATATATAGAAATATATCATTGTTTTGGAATTGACTATTAAAAAAAGTATATGATATAATTTGAATAAGAAGGAATACGTTTTTTCTATTTTTCTGGATCACTAATGCAATATGATATCTTTTGTCATTTGTCAATTTTTTAAGACTTACCCATCTCGATTAGTATTATTTCTTGTTTAAAAGCTCTTCTTCCAAATTTACTTTAATTTTGGTGGCTTAGATTATTCTTACATATAAAGAGCCATCTTGAGCCGTAATTCATCACGTAACATCCAAGCGGGATCTCTACTATTTTTTGTTATTTGAGAGGATTTTTACACGTAAATCTGTACTTTTATGCTACATCTGCCCCTGCGTTATATGCAAATATTGTGTGCCGCTAGCTGTTTGAGGGGCCGTAGCCACTGTTGTAGTTCGACAAATCTTAGTATTTTTTTATTAAAATTATATATTTATGTTAAGAAATTGACGTGTTATGTATAAATATAATCTATCTAGAATGTAAGCAGAAAAATTACTGTCCAAAACCCATAAACTAAAAGTTCTGGCTAATCGAATCATACATGATTGTACCTTTGTCTGATGTATTCTTTAAAAGATTTAAGTTATATAAATACTATGTAAATAATTTTACATTTTCTTTTACCATCAAATGAATTTTAAAGCGTGATAGCAAGTTGTTCTTTTCACCAGCTTATCAATTACTACTAATATTTATCAAGAGATTTACCTATTACCTAATAAGTGATGTAATTAAGCAAATTCTTTTTACAGGTTGAGTGCATATATAGAAATTAACTTCTTCTTAATATAACTGTTACTCTCGCTAAATGGATATCACTTCTCAAGCAAGATATGACCTTGCTCCCTGGAGAAGACTGCACTATCTTTAACTTCAACTCTAGCTTACTTTGTACGTCCCAATAAAACTAATCCCATAACAGGTAATTATCGGAACATAGCAGTAAATGAAGGACGTGCTCACTCTCTTCTGTCATCCAAGAATGATTCATGGATATCAAAGGGCAATCTCCCAGGAAGATGTAGTGTCACTATTAATGAGCTGATTGCTGAAAGTAGAGCAACACGTCTAGCTCAACAGCTTATCATTGACAAAGATTGGCATAGGCACCAGCATTATCCGGTGGAGAATCTGAACATCCAACTAAAAAATGGAAGTTCAACTGATCATAAACGCGAACAAGTAGTCCTCAAGTCGAATGGTTGGGGACGCGCCAATGATGCTGCGGGAAATTTGACTTTGGACTTGATGCATGTTCGAAATTCTGAATTGGGGTTCTTGTCAGAACAAGAGCAACTTAAGGAGGAAGGAGATGAAGAAGGGTGTCCAGAACATTGGAACTCCTTTGCGGGTGCTCATGTTGCTTGAATATGTTTCTTTGGGATTTGGAATGTTTTCTTTTATTGAAGATATAATTTAGTGAATAAAAGTGTGCATTTATCTAAGGGTTGTCAAATTGACACCCTTGCCTTCGCTGAAAAATTAAATTATATTGATAGATGTGTGTTTACTTTTTTTATTTTCAATTACCTTGATGAAAAATCCTTAATGAATTTGACCTGCATGGAATGTGTTAAGCATCTTCTATTTCTTTGTAGAGGCCCAGCTCTTTGCCCCTTGGTTGTAGCTTCAACTCCGATCCTAATTGTTCTCTTCTCAAAAAAAAAAAAAAAAAAAAAAAAG